AGGCGGTAGGGTAAAGTGTCTTGCCCAAGGACACAACGACCAGGACAGAGCTGGGGATCAAACCGGCAACCTTCCGGTTACAAGATGAGCAATATCATATTGCTCAATATCAATACATATCATATTGTACTATTAGCTAATTATTTCAACTGTCACAGCAAGTATTTAATTGTTGTTTTTTTTTTCAAGTATTCACTTTTCAAACACTATCTATCTATTGCCATCAATGAGGAATTTTTTTGGAAGAGTATTTTCAATTACATAGTAAAGTAAATACATACTTTATACCTTAAACCTTAAAGTGTCACTTTGATGGCACGTTTTGTAACTAGCCCATTAGTGTAACAAGCTAATAGATGAAACAATATAAACATCACAGACTATATATGGCTGTTATTGAATGGCTTTGGTCTTGCTTTTTTCCCTGTTGAATTTAATGGTAATCCTCTGTAGTTTGTATAAACTCACCAGTCACAGTGATGTTGACAGCTTCACTGCAGGCTCCAGCTCCAGATTCACACCAGTACAATCCGCTGTCTGAGGGGTAAGCATCTTGAATGAAGCAGTGTGACTCATTTTTTGAACCCCAGTGTTTGGAACACTCATGATTTGTTTTTATAGACGTGTTTCTCTTTATTGTCCAGTCAGGAGAGTTTTCATGCTCTCCACAGCTCAGTGTAACAGACTCATACAGGAAGAACTGAGATCTGTTGGGAAATATTCTCAGAGTGGCTGAAAGAAACAGAGAGGTGAGACAAGTTAGTTGTCTTTACAGAGCTGTATTTAAGGGCAGAACAATGAGGTGGGCACAGTTTAGTCTGGCCACCCAATGCATCCAAGGAAACACTGACAGGGGGCTCCTCACAATTGAATTCAAATGGATATATGGATTTATATAGTATAACTCCCGACTATAGTATAACATTTTGCTGTGCTGTTTTTCCATGAACAATTGTAACTGCCCACTTCATTTGAGAAAATTTTATGAGTTTTATTGCTGATAATTGTTTTTTTCAGTTGTGTGTTGCATTAAAAAAGCTAATTAAAGGTGATGGTGTAGATATACAGTCATACCTGCATATCACAGAGATTACCAATCACCAAAAATAACTATTCAGTCTACACTGATTTACCATGCACCTTATTTTTTTTAAGATATTGATTTCTCTGCCATCCCAGTTTAAGCAATGTGCTCAACTTTTAAAAAAATTGCTTGGCTCTTGAAACTGAGCTGTCATATATGTGGTGTGTGAGCAGAAGTGTAATAAGATGCCATGCCAAATTTCATAAAAAGGTGTGTAAACATAAAAATGAGCTATTTCTTTAACCTCTTAAGCCCCAAGCCTACCTGATCTCCTGCTTTTTGCCCCCGTATCAGGGGGCGTTGGGGCTTAAGAGGTTAAATCAAGATACATCCTGCACACAAACTGGGCAGGAAGCTAGCACCATAAAACTCGGAAGCTTGAGGAAAACCCAGAACTTGTAACAGATCAGGGACAACAAAGGATAAAGAGACTAAATAAACACCCAGGCAGGTGACTAAGGAGCACATGTGACACTAATCACAGGAGGAGGCAAGTTAAAATAAACACAATGCACATAGGGCAAGGGACTATTAAAATAATATAGAAAAGTAGCACTAAGACAGAGACATAGACAAAATAAAAACAAACGTGGAAACATTACTGACTGGGGAAACAGAAATAAATAAAATTCAAAATAATAACAAGGGCTGCCTTTTTTATTTGAGAAAATCAAAAATGAACATGAAAACTTTTTAAAATGTTGTTACTTTTTTCTCTGACAGCTGTATTTTGGAACACAGATGAAGCACTACCTCAAACAAATTTAATTTTACTGATCTTATACTAACTGTATTCTTGCCACCAAACATGGTACTAAAACCCACAACACTGACATTTCCTTCCTTTTTACACCTTTGCAGCTTCTGCATGCTACCCACAAAATAGTTGCAAGATGTATCTCCATTACCTCCCACAAGGTTTCATTTTAAACACTGGAACATCTGGTTTTTCATCTGTGCAGATAAGTTTGCAGCTGTATTGATGCCATATAAAATTTCTAAGATGAGTTTACACATTTTAAACTAATAAATACAAGTTACATGTACTGTATTTATTTCAACTAAATCAATCTACAATAAATCGACATAAAAATACAGTACCTTGCATAGAGTACCTTTTTGTAATGTACCTATTATAAAAACCTGTAATAAAATACTCTATTATAAAACAAAAGCAGATGCCCACACAGAAACAAATCACAGACTTCACACACATTTACAGTAGTACATACCAATAATAGTGCAGAGAGCTGTTATCTCCATGCTGCTTGGCAGGTGTTTGACTCACAGACAGTTTTAGGGGGGTTTGTTCACACCTCAGTGCTGACTGTGAAAAAGTCACTTGACCAAGATGTACGTCATCAATTTATTTTTTTAAACCGCAAGTGTCAAACACTTACATTCTCCACCCTGAAGATATAAAGTATATCAAAGTGAAGTTATAGAATATTTAATCCATCTTAAAATTTGAATCGAAAATATATAACTGATTATTTTTTTTCTTTTTTGAGAGTTTTGGGGAGTTTTTTAATATAAAGTTACATGAGATAGAGTTTTTTGTTATTTCTTTGTCTGATTTTTATCAATTACTGTCTTCCTCTATTCAGATTTGTGGAGTTTGTGTTTGAGCTGTTTTGCAATCCCGGATTGCGTAAGGGCAACAGATAATGTCAAAAAGCTCTACCTAAAATTTTGATACCCACTCATGTAAATGTGGTTTGCATATACTCAGATAACAACACAGGGTTCTACTGTTGCCTCTATGCACCACCACAGTGGATTTTAATACATAAAAAAAACAGCATTACCACGGTGGAGAGGTTTGTGTGCCCAAGTGATCCCAGGCGCTATGCTGACCAGATAGTTTGCTTCACCCACTGGTGGGGTCTTTCAAGGTAAATTGGTCCTCAGTTAGGGGTCAGACAAAGAGCAATTGAAATGACCTCTATAAGAGAGGAAAAACAAGGGACCTGTGTAGCACTGCCTGGGATAGGTTTACTAAGGGCTTACCAGGCCTTGGAAGGCCTTGGAAGCCAGGCCTTGGAAGTGAGCTTCATAGAGAGTGCCCTGTGGGAAAATGTACATCAGTCCACTCTTCTGTAGGTCCACTACCAACTGGAGGAGCTGGTGGTCCAATCCCTGGATTTCAAGGCTTGCAATTTGGACATGGAAAATGACCTCTCTTATAGGGAGAGACACTGATATGGTTGGTCTCACCTTTTGCACAGATCAGTCTTCTGGAGAGGGGATCGAGTTTGTACCAGTCTGGAGTTGCCCTCAGTAAGAGGAATGCTGTGTCTACATTAAGATTTTTCTCAGTGGACTAGCGGGTGGTTCCCTGTGGCTTTCAATCAGGGAATGGGTCCTGTCTTTCATTTGTGCTTAGAACAAGTTCATAGTACCCAGCCTTCTTGGGACCTGGGTGGGGTTCACAAGGGTGCTTCTGGTGACTCAGTTGTCTTACTGAAAGACATCA